AGATTTTGACGATATTTCAAGCGAGCATCAAAGGAATTTGAACAATAACAGCACTGCTGGAAAGAGGAAGAATTTCTGCATAGAACACTTTTCAAAGTGTTTGTCTGTCTTCGAAATGAATGATTTGAGAATAGGTCTAAAAAACCGCAAATATTCGGACCCATCTAACATATGTCCCGGCCCTCTACAGTTGACCCACCGACCGTAATTAATTTGCCTCAATGTCAAAGCAGCTCTACAAAATCGCGGCTAAAAGCTGTAGATTTTTTACGATGTTTGCTATTTTCCGTTGTTTGAGGTCCTCAATCAAAAACGAAATCTGTCATATACCACTATAGACACACAAAATCGCGCTACTTATGCCATTTAACTGGCAATTTTGTATTCTGAATTGGTTTGCTCAGCATTAAATCAAAACCACAAGTGGATGCAAATCCAGCGCAGATGAAGCAACCAATTTATTAGGTTGATTCATAATTTCTGCACCAAAATAGATACAGACCACAATAATCCTATATCCCAAGTGGAATTCGATATGTCACTAGATAGAGTAAACCTAGCTCTACAAGATAGTGCTCAAATCCTGCACCAGCTTTGTCCCATGCGAAGTTTTGTGCCGAAAACTGAAAAAAAATCCATGCGTTCGAAAACCTTAAGACCAATCAAAACAGAATTGTAACTTCGTTCAAAAAGCTCCTACAGAATTTCTTTTTTGCTCACGCGTAGACATTCTACGTAAAACATTTATCTATGCGGTTGCTGTATTTTTTTCCTTTAGACGAAAGAAAACGAAGTTTTTCATGTTTTTGCCAAATTAGTGCTGAGATGTTCTAGCACCCAAATTTTTCTTGCCTAGTTTTATTAAAATTTGATATTTTTCGTAAACCAGCTGCTACAAAGAGCTGAAACTTCACATTCACGCTTCTAAGGTCCTTTAGTATACAACTGTCAGTGCTAGAACATCTCATCAGCATTGTTTTGAAAAAAACATTAAAAACTTCGTTTTCTCAATTTTTGGCTGAGAGAAAAATACAGCAACTGCATAGAGACGTGTCTTATACGAGATGACAATGCATGAGCAAGTTAGAAATTTTGAAGGATTTCTGAACGGACCAATTTTTTCTTGTTTTTTTTGGGGCGCTTGGATCTTTTTCGTTTTTGGCTTCAATCTTCGCTTGGATCAAAGCTGCTGCAAATCTTTAAGCACTATATTGTGGAGCTAGATTTGCTCTATCTAATGATTTATCGAATCCTAGTTGGGAAATAGGATTAATGCGGACTATTGCGGTTTGTACCTATCTTGGTTCAGGAATCATGCATCAGCCTAATATTTTGAATGCCATGCCAAAATGCTTTTGGCAGTGAAAGGCTTTTTGAAGAGAGGATTCGCTAGGTTTTCTCGTCGAATTATGCAATAGCAGACTAGAAGTTTACGAACACTTGATCGCAATTTTTCGGACTTCTTGGTTTATAAAAAACATCATTGCCTCATGAACATGTACGGAGTAAAATATATTGAGGATATCCTGAGTGAAATGCGCCAATATTGCAATAGCTTCTTTTATAAAGCAAGTTAGGTGGAATCGCGCACTCGCTCAAACGTAGTTGAGTGTAAAAGTGCAACATATTGTGGCGAATGCTTGACACGGTGTTTGTTTAAATTGAGGTGAAGAAAAACTATCCTTATCGACTGCACCATCATAATCACCATCAGAATTCAAACTGGCTCATAACCAAAGAAGAAATCATTGTTAGCTAAAACTGCAATCGCACATGGACAGCTATGTGCAAAATTAGCAATAATGAAAAATGGAGAGCAAAACTGCAAAAAGAAAAGCTCGCTTTCCAAAGCACTCAACAGTAGTCCTATCACATTATGTTTTCTCGGATATCTATTTTTAAAGCAAGAGTTACCAAAAACGGTAAAAGCGGTAAAAGGTAAAAGCGCATGTTCACCACGATTCATAGTGATCATAGTCATCTTACCAATAATCTGTGCCTGTAGTACTATGACTTTTTAGATTTGATAACGCTCTCGGGTGAGAATTCGCTTTTTCAAAGTTTAATGGCATCTTTTATATAGGTTGTGTTCAGGCAATTCATGGCAAACGCAGACTGGACGCTCTTTCGTCAGACCAAGGTAGTTTGCGCAAGGGAGAGACAGCACGGCAAGAGGAGTGAGAGTGTAGCTATTACAAATTTCAAACAAAGATTTTGCAAAATTAGGGCACTAATCCCTATTCAGCGCATTGCCTTGATCTATAACGTCCAATGATGAATAATCACATTAAAATGTCCGATGATGAACAGTCAAAAATATGTTTTTTGCTTTCAAAAGTTTGTTAAAGCATATAAAAGTGTAAAACGGAGGCTTTGTTCTACTCGTTTTGCGCCTTCCTCTGCGGACACTTTGCGTCTTAAATTAGTCGCTATAAAATAGTCCGAGAGGAGCAAATCATATCGCCACCTTTCAACTAACGTTCTTTTACTTTTTTAGGAGAAATTCCAGTCTTGTATTTTGGTTGCTTTCGCAATGGTTGGCAAAGGAGGGTTCACAGATTCGTATGTGCTATTGGAACAACAGAGATGCGACACTTCTAATAAGTCTTACATGTTTACAGCAGATTGATGAGTCTCGTCTTTAAGCTTTATCCCTTAGTTTATTATATATTAAAAACAATACACAGTAGCGAACGAGTCTTCTTTCGATTTTGGGTATTTCCTTCCTCGACCTCATAGTGCACAACCCAATCAGTGTTGCATAGCCCTTTATAAACATAGGACGTTGGGAGGATCTATATGTACGGGACCAGGACTCGGCACATGTGGCTTACAAGCAAGCTGGATATCGGTTTTGGGACAAAAAGCAAAGGGGGTTTCGTTTTTTTTATTTACTTATTTATTTATAAGTACACACGAGGTGCATCAAAAAGAAAGAACACGAAAGAGAAAAAATCAGAAAGAAGCACGAGGCCAGTCAGTCCTTATCGTCAAGGCAAAGTAGATTGAATCACTAGGTAGATAAAAGATACGAAGCTCTAGACCCCTAACACAAAGGAACAAAGAGCGTGTACTATGTCAGAAGACATCTCAGAAATCTTGCACCTTCAAAATAATTCATGATGAACCCATTTTTGGGTGCCAGCGAGCCCCCCCCCCCCCCCGTAAGAGCTATTGAGTTGTCCCATAAGACTTTTCATTTCTAAGTTTTTGCTATAATAAGTCACACACTTCTTATTCTAATTAGACATCAGGACACCGTTCGATAGAGCAAAGCAAGCTCTATAAGATGGCGCCTATGCTTTTGCACAAGCTGTGGTCCATCTCGAGTTTTAAACCAAAATCTAAAAACTTTCGGATGCCCAGAAAACCAAGAAATTTTCATATCTTCGTACAAAAAATCCTACAGACCTTTAACTCGCTCACGCATATACATTCCACATCAGACATTCATATGTGCTGTATTTTTTTTATCACCTAGAAATCAAGAAACCGAAAATTTCCATGTTTTTACCAAAGTGATGCCGTGCTGTTCCCACACAAACAGTTGTATACTAGAAGCCCTTAGAAGTCCTACCGTAGATTTTTGGCTCTCTATATGCTCTGGTTCACGAGAAATATCAAATTTAGCTTTTTTCACTCGGGTTTTTCACGCTCAAATTAACATATTAGGTTGATTCATAATTAATGCACGTTTTCTATACTTCAACTTTCAACCGAGATAATTCTTTTTTGAAAAGACATTTTCAGGCGCAGTAAAAACTACTGTAACCACCAAATCAGTGGCTATAAAACAGATACTTTTGCGTGACTGTATCTATTACAAGAAAGAATTTCTGGCCTGAAGATTGCCAACAACATTTTTCAGAAGCCTCTACTTTGAGAGAGCATAACTTATGTTTAAATGAAGTAGGATAAAGCAGACTTCGCTCATCGTGTAGCTAAAGATCTCTTGAGCAGTAATGCCAAGTTTGGATTTTACGGAACATTTTTGAAAGGAAATATCGCGAAAAAGTCGAAAGTACTCACTTTTTTTCTGGCATCTCGGCGGGTTCAAAAATCGGTCAATTTTGAAATTATTTCATTTTTCTTCGCTGGAAAGTAAGAAAACCCTAGCGCTTTTCTATCATCAAATGAGCTAGGTCTACCCTTGCTGGATAGTGCAAAAGATCTGCAATCGCCTTTTGCTACAAAGTTTTATAAGGCACGGAAGGGCCGCGACAATCGTTTAAGTTCGCAATTGGATTTCTCGGCTCAGAATCGACGGAAAATTTTTTTAAAATAGCGTCCTGTAGCACAAAGTTACGTAGCGAGGTAGCGCGCAGCGCGCTTAGACGCAGACGAGCAGCGGAGACAGACCAGAGCCGACGGGACATTTGACTCTGGTCGTAGATCTCCGCGGGGTTTCGTTGAAACATCATATATCATTTTGATCATTTCGTGACACGATGAGGAGAACTGACAACGTCCCAAGCGTTGAAAATCACTCATCAACGAGATAGACCTGCATTTTCGTGCGCGAATCTCTGCACAAGATTTAAGCACAGTTTCTCGTTCTTATTCAACTCCAATAGCTTTCCTAATTTTCTGAAACTCGATTTTGTTCAAATGAGAGGTTAACTAAGAAATTTTATTCTGAATTCCGGCGAAAATCCCACAAAAACCTTTTTTTAAGGTAAAAAAGGCTATGAAAACGCAAATTCTCGGCTTCGCTAAGATAAGCTAAAGACATTCTCCCCTATATTTTTTCATTAACATTCGTTCCGATATAATCAGGATAATAACATCCGGGGCAAAGCCCCGGATGACTTGTTTTTTTTTGCAGGTGAAGGTTGTGTCCCCTCATAGCCTCAAAGTGAAGGTTACCAGAGTACGTGGCTCTATGTATCGTATGCCAATGCTGGAGGTATCATTGCGAGATCTTGCATTCCTGGTACCAAAAGTATCCTTATAGATGGTTGACTGCATACCGTGCTTCTCTTCAAGCTGTCGCTCTCCAAATGCGAATACTTTGGGCTTTTATACGATGGCAAGACATGAAACCGGAAGATGATGTAGGTCTCGTTTGAAGACATGCGCTTAATTAGCTTTTTGTGTTTCAGCAGGATCCTGATAGGCGTATTGTGAGCCACTTCCCGGATCGCGACGAACGAAGGTAGATAACAACACACAAGGAATATGCACCACCGTGTGTTATGAGCGGTGCGCTTTTGTCATAGTTTTCACTTTTCGTTTTCTTTCATTTTCATTTGTATGTTCAGCGTTCCATGAAACTAATTGATTGAATGATTGCGAACGGGTCTGCTGTTTATAAATAGCAATTTTTGTAGGTACCGTATATCTATAGAGGTGCTGCCTCTAGATGATGAGAAAGAGATTGAAGAAGAGGAGGACTTATCCTGGACAAGTGGGGAACGTGCGGAAAGAAGGAAGAGTGGGTTTTGAGCAACTCCACTCTGTTAGTCATTTCAAGATTGTAACTTATAGGCACAAGAAGAAAGAGACCCGCACATTCGTCTGTACAGCGAGTCAGTCATTTGAAGGAGGAGCGGGTCGATGGGGTTGACCTCAAGTTGCATGAGATATAGTTAGTGCGAAATCTTCTGTTTTTTTTTGCTCTTCAACTTCCATGCACATATCTTCGCTTCTCTTTTTAGTGACCATTGGAAAGGATATAATGAAAAACAAGAGGCGGAAAAGAAAAAAAAATCAAGCAGCCGCGATGCAAAGAATTCAGCCTGCATGTCCAACGATCAAAACGCGTGGGTATTGGTTACTATGTAATTGATATTTCTGCTAGCAACAGTATTTGTAGAAACTTCTACCCCGTCATCGCTCACTGCGAATGTCAGGAGAACCACTTCCGTATAAGATTAGTCGAGATAGCGTCGACGTCTACGGACATTGCTGGAACGTCAACAGAAGCGAATCATGCGGCGAAGGTCAGTGATATCGAGAGGTGCTTTGTAGTTGGCTGTTTTACATCTTTCCCGTCCATGCTTGTGCTTTATAGAAGGAATTGGTAAACGTGGTGCAAGAAGCTGCTGATGCTGCGGAAGCCACGGAAAAAGGGAAAGCTGTGGTAGAATCCCCCCCTCCCCACCCCGTGCGTTCCCCCCCCCCCCTTGCTGCCGGACCAATTGTCGTTGATATCACTCCAAAGATCTGTGATCTAATTTCATTCGTTTTTCTTTGTTATGAATGCATTTTTTTTGCTTTTTTCTCAAATAAATCTTGATTCTTGGGTAAAGTGTTCACTGCGCAATCACTGGGACCAATTTTTGGGTCAAAGGGGAATTGTTTTGGAAAATCCCTTTTGACAACCCTGCCCCTGGACACCACTAGTGCAGTAGTAACTGTCGGAAAACTGATGGCCGACCTTAACAGTCATTTCGCGTTCTGTAAGTAGGACCCCAACCATGACAAAAGATTGCCACCGATACCACTCTTGCTCATTTTAGCTAATAGCTTCTTATGGCAAACTTTATCAAAGGCTTTTGACAGATTCACATAAACTATATCAACCGATTAGCCTTCACTGGTTGTCTCATCTTCTTTTTAAGATAGGAAAAGAGGCGTTTAGATGATACTCCCAGAGCAGGCTTTCTTTCACGATAAGATAGATATTCTCTCATGTAATGATCTATGTTGGCACAAACTTTCTTGTAACATGGATTAACGAAACGATCGGGTAGCTGCTAAAAAAGTTCTTGCTTTTGCGCTAGTAAGCCTCGAATGTGTGGTGGCAAACCAAGAAGATGAGTGTAACAAATATACTAAAAGCTTCACAAACAATTTTGCAGAATCTCATATATAAAGCTGAATGTCTGTTTGTCTGTATGTCTGTATGTCCGTATGTATGTACGTATGTTCCGAATAGAAAATTCCATTTCTGAACCGATCGGGACCAAACTTGGCACACATACACTTCGGGCCCCGGCGGGTGTCATAGGCTACTTTTCGTATCGATCGATATCGATTTTATCGATTTTTTGCAAAATTTGAGCTACGGGGCTGGGAGTTGGCAGAGGGGTGTAATCGAGCATGCCGATTACGAATACAATATTAGTTTTTATAATTCGTGCATTACTTTTATCGATTTTATCGATTTTTTGCAAAGTTTGAGCTACGGGGCTGGGATTTGGCACAGGGGGGGGGGGTAATCGAGCGTGCTGATCACCATTGTGGGGGTGATCAGCATGCTCGATTACACCCCTCTGCCAAATTCCAGCCCCCTAGCTCAAATTTTGCAAAAAATCGATAAAATCGATAAAAGTAATGCACGGTTTCGAAAACTAATATTGTATTCATAATCGGCATGCTCGATTACACCCCTCTGCCAACTCCCAGCCCCGTAGCTCAAATTTTGCAAAAAATCGATAAAATCGACATCGATCGATAACGAAAAGTGGACTGTGACACCCGCCGGGGCCCGAAGGGTATGTGTGCCAAGTTTGGTCCGGATCGGTTAAGAAATGGAATTTTCTATTCGGAACATACGGCGGAGCCGGGTAAGCCAGCTAGTCTTTCATAAACATCAGAGGATGAGATGTAATCATCAAAAACAGAAAGCCAGTCAACTCCAAAAAATAATTATTAAGAGAAGAATAGTCAACACTTTAAAAATCGCAATGGAATTGAAGGGGCAAAAGAGTACATAAAGTCTATTTCGAAAGTAACATTCTATAATCCGAGGATCCAAGAGGTGGTAATGAGCTCATACGCGAGACAGCCAAGGAGGACGAAAGTAAGTACCACGTCAAGAGTGTTTACACTATGGGTAGAGAAGGAAACATATTGTTTTAGACCACAATTATTCAAAGAGTTTTTGTGGACGAAGACACGCAAAATTGGTGACTTTTTTTAGTCGACGTTTCGTTTTTAGAAGAATTTTTGAGAATTTTTTAGAGAATATAGTATAGAGTCAAAGGGAACTTGGTAAAAATTCCCAAAAGTCAAGGGGGATTTCGTTTTTTGCTCATCTAGCCACCTCTTCCCGACCCCATACGAGGCTGGTAGACCCTGTGAGTGATCGGCGTTCAACTGACAGAAAAGAATTTCTTCAGACTGGTAGTTTTGAATGAATTGTAAGCTTACTTACAAGGACATTCAATGCTGATTCAAAATTGTTTGAATATCTGCCGAGCTCTTTGCCTGAAGCGCAAAATGACTCAGAATACAAGATTATAAAGTGCAGTTCAAAATCATACCATCCCTTATTCTGGAGTTTCGGGACTTTGAATCGAAAAACCGTTAGTACTGCTTGAAAGACTATGCACTTAGTCTTCACGCTCTTTTTTGCAACGACACCTTGACTACCCCCTATTATGCTTTAATTCCAGAAATAAATTTGGAATGGGAGTTCAGCTTTGGTATTTTGAGGCAAGCCTGTTGAAAATGCAGAAATTGCAATAAAAATCAAGGCAACATCTCTTAAGAAAATTGATTTTTTCGGCATTTTTTCTCAAAAATCGTAATTTTCACAAAAGAGCTCGATCAGCACAAACTCTGCACTTAGAAAGAAGAAATCAGAAAACTCATGATGCTGGATGTTTGGATCTTGTTCCACAGTATTTGATTTAGCGGGCTTGCCTCAAGATACCAAACCTGTAGTGATTTCCTTTTCCCATTTTTACCTCTACAACTAAAACATAGTAGAAAGTAATTAGTCAGAAAGAGCATAACTCTTAATAAAATCAGTTCCAAGCGGGAACGTTTTGAGAATAAAAAGTTATGATTTTTTTTCGAAAATGGTGCGACAGAACGTGTATTTCCAAGTGTTCTTGGTAGCATTCGATGCAGCATTTCATTCTCTTTCCAATGGTCATAAAATCATTGCAACATAGAATATGACTCCTAAAAAATTACCAAAATCCGCTATCCTGCTTTTTGGGGTGCTCAAGTTCCACAAATGTTTTAAATTTTCATATCAACCCTCGAAAGAAGTCCAACTAATTGATGAATAAAGCAAACTATACAAACAGCATAATTTTTCTACTTTCTACAGCTGCCTCGTCATTTTTGTGTAGGTTTTTGGAACCACAGACTTTCAGCAGGCTTGCCTCAGACACGAATGCATCAAACACGAGTAAATCGGTTTTCGAAACTTGCAAAGGTGAATTATGGTTTGACACTAATTTTACAAAGCAAATGAGCATTTATCGCTCAGAATAGCAACTTTCGAAAGTTGGAGGTATAGCCAGGGCGCCTTGGAAATCCTGAATTATGATGATTTTATTCCGGCAAACTCTATGAATCGGAAACAATAAATACCTGTTAGAAAGAGGAGATAAAGCTGGTCGAATGACATTAACCGGTTTGTCAGTCGTCTTCTGAGGTTGTTCTCTGTGGTTTGAGTTGGTTAAACATGGGGATTGATGAAATCAAAAAATTGATTTTAGAAATTCTGCGAAGCAAGCTAAGGAAGAGAGAAAAAATGACTCGTGTCTTATAGGGTATGCTAGGTCTACCCGTTACTTGTGCTTCTTCGGGGAATCAGTGCAAATCTAGACAAATAGCCGAACTAGCGGCCATGACAAAAAAGCATGAGTCGCGATTTTTCTTAGTTTTTCAAGAGCTCTCTGGACATCATGCAATGTTTTCAAATTTTTTTGGAAGAGGATCAAATACTGCATCGAATGCTTCCAAGATCTTTCAGATATCTTTGTTCTTTCAAATGTGGCGCTTCTATTTTCGGAATTACCTAATAATTGACAGCTTGGTATTTTTTTGACAATTTTAGGATTGGCCGTGTCTAGGCATTTAGCTAAGAAAAACATCAGCTCAAATTTTTTCATCCAAAATTTGCAGAGAGAAAGGCCCAGCAGGCATGTCAAAAATTCCATGCTGAGCCTAGAATTCTGGTGTGTCGTTTATTCCCAAAGATCTGACTCGGGATCAAGGGCGCGTAATTGTCATCGAAAAAAAAACATGATTTGCAAGGAAATCTTAGATCAGTCTGAAAGTTGTGTCAGTTTTTTAATGATCAGCAAAACCCATACAGCAAGAATAAACGAACACTTCAAGTTGCACACGATGCAGAACTTTTTTCCCCCTCCAGTTGCCCTAATCCCAATGTGATGTGTTGGAAGGATACAGGGATAACTGCTGGAAATTACAATCCTTCTTTTCGGCCATGTCCACCTTTCGCTAGTTTTGGAAATTTTTATGTGATTTTGGGGGAGCTCTCTCAGATAACCGCCGAGGGCAGGCGGCCATGCGAATTTTGAGCAAGCGCGCACCGGAAAAATAGTTCGTTGAATTTTTGCGGCCCGCTTGCAGAAATTTGGAAGAAAGTTGGCGAAATTGAAGACGAAGAAGAACAATCGCGGTTTCTTTATGGATTAGCTGCGGCGCAGTGGCCGCATTCTCGCGGACTTTCCGCGAGAATATGCAAAAATTTCGAGGGCCGCATGGTCCTTTGTGGAGGACCGCGCAACCCCCAAGTACTTTCCGCTCAGAGAAAGTGCCTCAAACTTGAGTAATTAAACCAACGGTGACACCTCTGCCACACAGAGTCTTACCTGCGCTCGACGTACGCCCGAAAATGCCTAACGAGGGAAGGATACTTGGTGACCGTGGCCTTTTGCAATGAGATGCATACCACTAGATGCACCTTGAAACGCTGATTCCAAATCTATGTTCACTATCTGCTGTGCGACTCTCTGAACGAAATTATGGACTTTTTTCCCTATCGCTTTTACGAGATTTAGCCAGTCAGAATCGTCAGCATCAACGCTTTTTGGACTCCGATTTATCGGAGGCAGTTTTCTTGAGCTTAACGTAAAGCTTTACTTTATTTGGACGCTCTTTTGTAGTGCGTAAGCGAAGATTCTAACGATATTGGTGAAAACTGCATCGCAAACAGTGCCAATTTTGGTGGAAAGAAATGTTCATAACTTCTTTCGGAAGAGGGCACAGCAGATACCGAAAGCAGATTTGGAATCAGCGCTTCAAGATACATTCAATGGTGTACGTTTCATTTCAAAAGGCCGCGGTCACCAAGTATCCTCCCCTTGTAAGAAGAGTCCGAGCGCTTGCTGAAAGTTTGGCCAGCGCTCGCTGAAAGAAATTATTTGCCGAGCGCTTGCAAAAAATGCTGTATTGCTGCCCGCTGGCAGAATATGCGACCGTAAAGGAAGTGCCGCTCGCTGAAGGTTTGGCCACGCCCCAAAATTCTGCTGACCGCAGAAAAGCGCGAGTTTGCGGACCTCCTGCCCCCGGCGATTGTCTGAGAAGTAGGGCAAACCGTTTGCCAATTAAGCAATTTTTCTTCATTTTTTCAGCTACACTTTTAGATTTTTGTTAAGTAATTCTTTGAAAGCTTGGAATTTTTGAAAAAAAAAACGCATCTGTTTATCAAGCATTACAAAATTTTGAAATTAATGAGGTTTTAAAAATCGATGAAAT